GGCTAACATGTTCAACTCTATGTTCTATCAAATTTTATGTGATGCTTTTTGATGTAATTTGATAGTATAAACAAAGCTTAAGGAACAATGGAAGATAATGGCACTTTTAACAATCCCCTTACTGTGTTGACCAACTAATGAATTATTAAAAACTCTGATGAATGTAGGAACCATGGAGGATTTAGTAGGAACATGACCAAAGTAAAACAAATATGAGAGGATCTAAGCTGGTAAAAAATTAGTAGAAAAGATAAGGCTTATCGACTGGTTCATTTCATTGACTACGATTTTTCGTTGAGTATTATTTTCATTCGACTGGTTCGTAAAATTGACTTCGTTGACAATGAAACAAAAGTGCGTTAATCAGCGTTAAGTTATCCATGTGACCAAAACAAACATATGGCCGATTGGTCAGATTAGCAACAACATTTGCGTTAATATAATTCAGATTAAATTTCAGAAAATAAAAATTATAATATTTACCGACATTAAGTCAAAAATAATTGTAAGCTAACAGAATTAAAAAACTGGATGAAAACATTTTTTACAAAAAATCCAAACTGCCACGTACAAGCCGAAGCAATCTTGATTACGTAGCGTATATCGCGGTAACTATGTAGCCATTTTGTTTTGTCAAGCATTTAGCAGTTTTCTATTCGACTGGTCGTCTTCATAAGTAGGATTTTACCACTGCACAGATGGGCGTGTTTTAATGAACAATGACCAGTCGACTACGGCCATTATGAATGAGAAAATTTTATTTATAAGCACCAGTGTGTGATGCATGGATTGATGGACTTATTCGGTGTAAACACCCAGGATAAACCACGAAAGTCTATTTCCACTGCAGTGGGGTCCTTCTGGTGGTGATTGAGCAGTACGCTGGGAGACAATCCCCTACCTTTTCTGTACTGCGTTCTTTAACATGCACAAAGGCCTTAGTGTACACAGGACCAACGGCTTAAACGTCTCATCCGAAAGACGATGCACTATCATAACTTGCATTTCAGCCCTCCAACAGCTTAAACACAAGGCAAGCAGCGATGAGAATTGAACCAGAGACATAGAAATTGCCACGGTTCAGCACGAACACAGTGGCTACCATCAGTTTAGCCAACAGTGCTAAGCTGCTCTCTGGTTTAAATTTAGCAATTTAACTGCAAATATAATTAATTTTTGGCTCCCTTCTAGTAAAACCCTCCTTGTCGTTTAAAAACTATAGTTATTCATCTGCACACCCAATAATAAAAAGTAACACTTTAGAATTCCACTGATTGGTAAACAACTTTTATGACAATAATAATATGGGTCTTATATAGGACCATGCCAAAATTCCTATGCATTCCACATTGTTAGATCAAACACACCCCTATAGAACACATATTGAGCCCCTGGAATGAAACCCATAATGTTCATGCAATAGTGCTTTGGAGTTTGAAACTACCAGGCATGCACCGTCTTGTACTCTTGGGGAGAAATGTTAAGACATTGGTGGGTGCATTTTTTGGGGGTTTTCTTTCTTTCTTTTTTTGTTTTTTGGGGGTGTGCACGTACCAACCCCTGCATCCCCCTAAAGAAGGGAAGAATTGTCGATATTTACAATCCTATAAAAATATTTATTCTAATGTATTGACAGTAATGTTTGAAATGTTTGTATTTTAGAAAGAAATTGTAAGATTTAAAAATGCATACATATTTATTACTGTATTATTATAACTTTATAGCTGAATAAATAAATGTATTTATGATTAAGTCACAGCTAATTAATTTTTCTTTAAATAAAAATTAAAACAATGATTTAAATCATAAAAATTATTTTTAAAAAAACAATAAATATACTTCAATATGCATTTTTGTTATTAAACACCACCCCTACGGGGACCAGTCTGACACCATGGACCTATGGGTCCTTGATTAAACCAATTCCTAATTATGATTGGATGCTGTTCTAATCACACATTTATACATACAATAACAGCCAATCAGAATTAGGAATTGGTTTAATACTGGTGTAATAGCCACTGCTTATATAAAGATTACAACTCCATTAATTCAAGAAAATTACTAGTTGACTATGGCTACACAAAAGCAATACAATAAGAAATTGTCTTAAGATTAAACAAAGTCTGCAGCAAAAAAAACCATGATAAAAGAAAATAGAAATAATGATTGCGTGCAGCAATCATATTAAAAATTAAAAGTATTGTAAAAATAACACCGCCATCGGCTAAATACGATGAATTACCTCAAACTACATTTATTATTAATACACATGATAATGCATACAACTCATAAACAAGGTAACATGGACTGACATTCTTTTTCTGTTCAATATTAATATAATAACTGGTAACTAGAATGTAGAACAATCGAAACAGCATTACCATTACATATTAAACGAGGCACACAACCTTGGTATCGTCTATTCACAAAATTAAACTTTTCACGATTGCGTATAGTCACAAAATTAATTGACAATAAATGGAAAAACCACAAAAAAAACAAAAAAAAATGAGCTCATATAATTATAGATATAATTGTAAATATGCGCAGTTATAACAGTCAATCAAGGAAGAAATTTAAGGATGATTAGATTTTCATTGTAGGATGAATATATTCATATACCATAGCCTTGGTCTCAATTATATTCAATATAACTCCATTTGAATCTAGGCAGATATTCTTCATCATTTATTTTCTTCATATAAAGTCCAGAACATGGGGGAGATGCAGAGAGGGTGCAGACGTTACTATCACCTTAGAGGTCTATACTATAAAATTTTTTTTAGCTCAACCTCAAGCATGGTGGGGCTCAAATGGTGTGAACTCTCACACTTCCCCTACCACCAACCCTGCATCCACCCCAGATCACACATTTATACGCTTCTCTCCTCCCCCAGTACGTCGCTCATGCTCTACTACTCATTCTCGCCATTCTTCCTTTTTATTAGGACCTGCTCGTGCCTCCCATCATCGGAATAAAAATAATTTAGGAATCATAACTCACAGTATGAGCAACCATGACGATCCAAATAACCAAGCAAGGAACAAACAGATTAGGTGGTCATTCATCTCTCTTGCCATATGATTTTAGTCTCGCTTACGACCTGACCCTCGCTTAAAAAGATGGCGTAATTATAATGTAATTCTGATTATTTTATATATGATTAATTCCGATAGCAGATAATTACCCTCGATGGCCCAAGTAGCAATAAACAATTCAATTTTGAATCTTGAATCAAATTATCTTACAATTTGGAAAATTACTATATGTTTTTGGGTAATTTTTTTTTTCTGCTGTTTTCTGTTTTCTCAAATGCCTTAAGCATTTCTGTAAAATATATATGAGTGCTATAAATATCTCATATATTATTATTTAATCTTTATCATTAGGTCAATTTGTTTTGAGAGTGACTTTTATTTACGGTAATAGTCATAAACTTCATGTTCAGGTCCAAGTCCTGTAGGCAAGAAAACTGCCAAATGTTTCTGATTACAGATTCATCATTTTTAAGTGAATATTTCAAACATCCAGCAAAAACACAAGAACAGATAAGGAAACTGGGACCAAGGTTATAAAGTACTTCTCAGTTGGTCCATTCCAATGTGAACCACATAAAATGGAAGGCACCTCTCAATATCCCATGCGCCAAGTGAATTATAATAGGGAGATTTGCGCGACGATGTGATACTAGAAAAGATTCACTCATGCATGACTGTTCTACGTTCTCTGCACAACGTACATTAGGCCAAATTAGGTAGTTTTCACCGCCCAACATTAACCTTAACATGCAACACAATTGCTCCGCCCCTTTTTGTAAACGAATCTAATACGCACGCGTAAACCCGTAACTAAGGTACGTCGAGCACGTAAAATCCTGAAATTTACGTACTCCGCAACACAAGATGAATAAATTATGATGTCATACGTTAAGGTTAACGTTGTGCGGCGAAAACTACCTATTATGTCTTAGAATCTATGCGACGAGAACTTTCTCAGAGGACTTCTAACGCCCGTATTCTTAAAACCTACTTTAGTCGAACTTCGAACTAGAACTTCATTTAGTCCTAGTTGCAACTTAAACTTAAATTTGTAATCATAAATAACGTAGTGGAAGTTCTAACTATTTCTACATCAAGTCCTAGTTTTAGTTCAGCTGAAGACAGCTAGCTGGCAACAAACGACTATTAAACTAACAAATAAAAAGAGCTCATTTTAATAACAGACGAAATTTAGTAGATCCGGTTACACGGATGAATATTAAACTGCCGCCTGCCGTTCAAAAACATATTTCCTCATAATTCATAATAGATAATCATTCGCTTAATTAATTTCCTATAGTAATAACTATATTAGTCATTAACATATAACGATAGAGATTTTGAAGCCACTGGAAATTTGCTTTCTTTGGAATTTCGTGCAAATCAGGAACTATCACATGTGGCTATCACAATGTTAATTTCACCAATTTGAAGCGAAATTTTATGTCCCTTTTTGTTTAACACACCGAAGATATATCAGACCTACATATACAATCGTTTTTATTCTGTTCAATCTACCGTGAGTTACAAAAAACATTTTTAGTTTTTAGTGGGGTAAATAGTTTAAGTCGGGGAATTAGTCTGACCCTAGGCTGACTAAAAAAATCAGCCTGCGGAGATATCATTTTAGAAGAGGTTAGCGTAGTGCTAATTGAAGTTTGTTTTACGAATACGAAATGACGTAACTTTTAAGTTTTAGCTCGAACTACTGTACAACTAAAGTTTGTTCTAAAGAATACCGGGGTTTGTGACGTTCTACGTCCTACCATTTTCTTAAAATCGCTACATTGTTTACAGTGTAATCATTGTACCACGTGGCAGTCCCCAATGTAAGTGGGAATGCTCCCAATTCGAGAGACCAATCAGCATCACCGAAAGCTGTGGTGATAGCGTGTAGTGATTGTATGGAAGCCATGATTTAAGAAGCACTCAAATCATTTGCAGTGTACAAATTCCCAGAAACCAATAGTTCTCATTTTACTTTTATTATTCGGTTTATTCATTCACAATGCACCAACACATTACAAGGTAAATATAAACAAAAAAAAGAATGTTTAAAGTTACAAGCAATTATGGAGTGAAATTAATTCATTTGTAACTCTGAAAGACTTTATTTTACATAAATAAATAGTACATAAATTACTACTGAGATTAAGGAATTTGACATAACTTTATCAACAATTATTTCATCAACAAAAACCACACTAAATACCAGATACACTGAAACAAGACTATTTTTAAAACATTTCATAAATATGTCTAAATTAATACTCCTTTTTATGTACAATTACAATAATTAAAATAATTATAAATTATAAGATAAAGGTTTGTTGGAAGAAATAAAATAGATGAAAGACAAAATTTAACACCAGAAGTAATATTATTAGCATGAAAAACCATTGTAGTATTAAATTACAAAAAAAAACAAAAAAAAAACAGAAAGAATTTAAGCATTGAAAAGAATTACACATTGCTACTCACAGGAACTAAACTGTTTGGTGGGATAATTTAAACAAAAAGAGAGATTTTTTAAGATAGAAATAATAAGAGTTTTCAACAACCATGTGGTAAAATAAAACTCTCAAAAAACTCAGTTATAGTAATAATTGTGAAAATTTAAGCAGGTGTTTTCAATTGCATTACAACAGGGGCCAAGTCTGTGGATTAAATACATTTGAAGGTATGAGGGGTCCCACGTTGGAAGAAGTCACTTATTCCGGGAGGTCTGTTTATGAGCTTTCTCATTATGCATCTAATTATACTTTGCTATGCATAGTGTTTCAGGGAAACAATTGATAATGCCCATTTAAAAAAAATTATTAGTTTACCTTCCTCACGCACATGTTTTCTATGGTATTGAAAAAATATATATTTAAAAAAAAAAAAAAAAAAAATTGGAGGAAAAAAAAAATTTATAATTTTCTTTTTTTTGTGGGAGGGGGGAAATTTTTTTCATTTTTTTCCATTTTGTTAGTAAATAATTAGTAGATATCGGATCATTGAGGTACTATAGGGAACTTTAATTTGCTAGAACGGAATCACTCATGCGTGACCGTCCTAATGGGCATCCTACGTTCTCTGCATACGTAGATTTGGCCAAATTGCGTCCTAGAATTGATGCGATGGGAACTTAACGTTCTCGCATGCATAGATGACTTTTAGTGATATTACGTTCTACGTCCTCATGTCGTCGTGCAAACGAAAGCTCCCTAATGGAGGTCAGGTCTAGAGGGCGCTGGCCACTCCCTCCTACCAAATGAAAGCAATATTGGTAATGTAATGTGAATTGTTTCTATAATAGTGGTTAAATTTTTATTAAAATTATTATTTTTATTCTCTTTTTTAGGATTTTTATTGCGGCCAGCATAACATACACTTGTGGGATGGAAATGGCCAGCGAGCCGACAGTTCAGAACCCCTACATTAGAAGCACATAGAGGAGTCTTAGCAGTTGAAGGGATGGTCTCTGACTTCATAAAAAAATATCTATTTCAAGAATACACTCAAGACCACATAAAAAACACTTATTCATATACACATATAGAACATTACATTTTTCTCAAATAACTATATAATAATATTAAATAATACTATATTTCTAAACTATGTAATAATAATAATAATAAACAATATTAATAACAATATATTATTATAAAAAGTAATAAAATAATAATAATAATAATAATAATTAACAACATATAATTATGTGTATGAATCTTTTCAGAGTAGTCAACTAAATTAGAGAATTTTCTTTAATATCATTTAGATAATTGTTTTTGTAATTTATATAAGAATCATTATCATTTATTCTTTACTGATTGCCTCCTGTATATTGGAGTTACATCATTTAATAAAGATATCTTTAATATTGCACTGGACTGTCTACCCTCAGAATGTTACTATATAATCTTAATTACTAATTTTTTATTAATTTATCTCTGAATTTAATTAATTTATTATAATAATATTTATGACATATTTATTTTTAATGTGAAAAGGAATGTAGTTAGAATACAGGAATGCATATTTTACAAGGTATTAATTAATCAGTTGGACCACAATAGAAACTATAAGCCATTTTCAAGGCTTTGTGTAATTTTAGGCTATATCATTTGCCTGGAGTTGGAGAATGTGCCTCTATAAATTTCATTTATACATTAATTAGAGCCAGCTATTGGCAAATTGTGTTACATTGTGCGGTCTACAGTTAAAGCTCAGAGATGAGATGCACCACAAATTACTATCAGGTTTTGAATTTTGTTACTGAAGAAGAAGAAAAAATAAATAACCTGCATCAGAACTGTTGCAAGTGCGACGAAAGTTTTAGCTTTTTCCACACTTGGTGAGCATTTAGACCGGAGTGTTTGCATAAATGCACACGCTGCAATATCGAGTAGACACTTTCAGACAGAGCAAGCCAGTAAACCGTTACAATATTACTAGGGTGCAAGTTGGCCTAAAGCAGGCCAGCATATTGGCGTATCGACCTTTCAAGACAGAAACCAATGCCAGCATGCTTACCGCAATTGGAGCTCTGTATGAAAGGCCTTTAGCCAGGATAAGGGACAATGTATCCATAACATGTTGGTATTGCCGCTGCATTGTGGCTGCCATGGGTTCCCATGGGCTCAGCCAAAATTTCAAATTTTACATGCAAATCTCCCTCTAATTAAGGACCCCTCCAATTTAAGACCACTTTTCTGTGGTCCCATATTAACAAATGTCTTTTATCTTTATTATTCTAATTAGAGACCAAAGCTACTAAAGACCATGAAAAAACCAGTCCCAAAAGTGGTCTTAAATGGAGGAAGACTTGAATTTGGAAATGAACCTAAAAGAAAGAAACTTTATTACTCCTACTGATATACCCATATATACAGTATACTGTACATGATATGGACAAATCACAGTATTTTCCCACATAGGACTTCATAGTGTGGACATCTAATACACAATCACATAATACTTGTGTCTAAACAGACATATTTCCCTCTCTGTATTATGTATTTCACATTCAAACTAGTTTCAGCCTACATATAACATGAGATTTCAAATGCATCAATCCGTTTTATATATCTGGTTACAAACAAAATGCTTCATGGCTCTGAGAGATCGTGTTAAAATGACTGAAACTACAGTACTTTTAAATGTGCTGTGTCCTGAGTATTATCTTATGATACTATCCAATCTAATATTACTCCAGAAATCTGCAGACAATGGGTCCAACAATTCAGACAGGGGTGTCGGAACCAATTGGGCCTGTCACAGCAAGGTACTAAATACCTTGGTGGGTTCATGAAAGAGTCATTTTGTGGTTTAGAATGGTAAAATTTGTGCTTTTAGACTACAATATTATATATGATAATTAATTAATGGCAAAAAATTAATGGAAATGGCAAAAAAAAAAATTTTTTTTAGTATGACAACTTAAATTAGTGTCTGGATGTGGGTGAAAATTTTGGCCCTGTTGTTCCCCCACCCCCTGCATACTAGTGCAAGAACTATCTTTATTGCACAGAAGTTAATACCTGTAGTATTCATTGGAGTTTACACATGGGGCTTCAAGGCTAGAAATATAAACATTAAACATTAATAAAAGGCAAGTACTATTTTGGTGTTACAAAAACATTGTCATACTTTTTCAGGAAATACAATGTTTCAGTAACTTAAGTGTAGTAGGCCCTACACTTAAAAACTTGCTTTAAGTATTTGAAACTTAGCATCATAAAGAGCCTTTAAGCTTTTTCCAGATTATCAAATTTTCTTTGATAAAAAACACTTGTATGCCCATGATATGATGTGTCTATATATGGTCATGATGTGATGTCATCATGACCATATTTAGGTAGAAAAATGCATGAATGAATTACTATATAGATTACATGAATAAATGAAGATTAAATGAAATAATTAATTAAAAACAATGTAAAATAATTTCATAGAACTTTATATTTGTTATCTATAAATTTCTATATTAATTTATATTGGAATTTACATTAATTTATATTATTTAACTTTTTATAAATTTAAGGTTTTATAAAATCTCTGTCCTTTCCGCATATCATTAAAAAAAATCAAGACTTAGAACCTAAAAATGAAGAGTGTTTCTTTGAAAATACAAAAAATGATCCCAAAAATATAGGTATATAATATACCACACACTTAGTTTCATGTCTTACATTACTATATATTTCACAAATCAACTTTCAATGAATTGTGCTATTTTTGCTCTATCCATCTGAAATTTCTCACATTTCATAAAACGATAATATTACATATAAAGTAGATTTTTTTCTTTTTTATACATTTACAAACAACCAACAAGTTGGAATAAATATATTAAGGCAATAGATTGTTAACAGAATTTTTTAAAGCAACGTAAGAAAAAAAAAAGTGGTTGGATTTTAAATTCAGATATTAAAATACACATGGTGAAATGTAATTTCAAACCAGCCTATACTTAAGATATAACTTTTCATAGCAAACATTTCAGTGGATATGCAAATATTTTAATGAATATGCAAAAAAAAAAATAAAATCAATGAGAAATAAAATTAAAGAAGGTGACATTAATTCCAGTAATAGTGCTCCGAACGCTGAAGTGCAGTGAAGACTTGAAGAGGGTGAAAGGTCAAAGGTCAGAGTTCAAAGATCCCAGCTGAAGAGGTGATGCTTGATGAGCATGTCTCGCACGCTGTCTTTCAGGGGGACGCCACCCTATATAAAGATGAGATGAGCAAGCAATGACAGAATGAACCAAGATAGGCAAGACTGTTTGTGATAGACAGCACATACCCTGTACAACAACTAACAGAAACTCATTGAGATGTGACAGTAATGATGAATTTAAAAATAATTTGGTCAGTTTTGAAGTTTTTTTCTGACATTATTTTTTTAAATGTCAATACTTCCAAAAGTGGTTATCTCACCTGTACTGATATACTGATCTTTGACAAAAAACTGTTGTATGCCTATATATAGTCTTGATGTGCCTATATATGGCCAGGATGTGATGTAATCATGACCATATTTAGGTATTTTGGACAGCGCTTTAGGAGATTGGGCTGGATTGCCGATAGGTTATTCTCTTTCATGCCACCATGTTTTGTCTACCTTAACACTATCGCGCCACTGACACTAGTAGCGCTGCATACACCCTGCGCTACTACACCCTTTCTGTTTGCCATACCACCAATCTCTACAGTGCCACCATTCTCTCTGCTGCATTACAATGCTCCCACCTGTGCCACCACGCAGGTGCACAATCACATTCTCTGTTCAGAAATGTTGAAATTTTCAACAGGTATATAAAGATAAGTGTGGGTTTTATATAATTTAAAAAATACACTTTTATCTTCAACAGGTATTTAAAGATCAGTATAAAGTTATATGTGAGAGCCAGTTTAAGAATGTCAACAATAATAAATATTTAACTATTTAATTCGATATTAATGAAAGAAGTCACATTCTTGGAGTTTCTTTTAGCATCATCTGTATCAGTGTCATGCATCTCAAATAATCTCAAAAAAGCTTATAAAAATGGAAACAACTACAAGAAAAAGAAATGAAAATTCAAGCATAAAAGTGACAAAAGACAAATTAAGAAAAGTATTCATAAAAATGTAAAGAACAATGAAAATTAAACATACCCACCTTTAAGGCTTGTCTACACTATCAAATTTAATGCAACAAATTTATGTGATATACCCTATGAAGAAAAATATTGTGTTGGCATGCAGGACTGACCCAAAATGTCCAAAATTCAAGGTCGGCATTTTAGTTTTTATTTATTTTTTTTTAATACAACGAAAAAATATTTTTTCAATGGGCTTTAAAGGCTGGAAAAGGCTTATCTTGCGACGGCAGGTGATGCGACAGTGTTATGGGATCATTTTGCTCTTCAATATAAATTTTAAAATGGTCTTGTATTTTTGTGTCTATTCTACTTTTTAGGCAAAAATAAAAAAAATAAAAAAATAAAATTCCTACCGACCTAACCATTTGTTTGGATTTTTCAAAATGTGGCCAACATCAGAATATATATTTTTTTTTATGGCCTGATTATGTCATATTACATCCTAATATGGACATATCACGTTTATTTGTCATTAAAGATTTGATAGTGTGGCTATAGCTTTTATTCTCCAGACTTATCAATGATCATACTGTTCAATCATTATCATTCTCTTTACGATTGTAATTATTGAAATGCACGCCATCGTGTCGGGATTCAATATTTCGACATTAATTATGTCATCATTTCGACATTAATTATGTCATCATTTCGATACTTGGCGTATGTATTATAATATCTTATGTGGGATTAATCAGTGGACCTTTCGGTTATTGTAATTATTATTATTGTTATAATCAGTAGTCAAAAGTTTTAAGTTTACACATTCATGCAGAAATTTTAGAACACAAAATGTGTGGCAAAGACAAGCCAAACCAGTCGCTCGTCTTCAAATCCTGTTTCAGAGATATTGGGCAAAAAATGCTGGAATGTCGCATTTTTTGAAATTTATTTTATTGCACTAAACTAACCTTTATATATGTACACATCATGTTATGCTATTATTTTCCCCATTTCCAATGTTAAAACAATTTTTAACAATTTGGTGATGGTTTCTGCCTGAGAAATGCCCGAAATCATAAACTTTGAAGGCTGATTTCTCAAATATTGTTCTTTAAGCAGTTGTATGTTTAAACGCTTGTAACTTCTTAAGGAAATGTCGGATTTAAATGATTCTTCTACCATTTTATGGCTCTTATCTTACTGTTGAACACTGTATCAATAACCACATATGTGGTCTCATAGAGGTTCTGTTTTAATAGCATAATAGTACATTTATGCATAAGTTTTAGAACACAACCTATGCTTCCTCAAAGAGATTTGAGTCTCGCTACGATAATATTCATTTCTACATTTTATCTTGAGAGATGTCAATATTAAACAATCAGTAAGTTAGTCAGTCAGTCAGTCTGTCTGCTAGTCAGTATCTGGTTATTTTTGCTTTTAAAATGACAAAATTTTATCAGAGTTTTCGTATTATGTCATCTGTTAAGTGTCAAGAAAACAGTACCAGGAATGGACTTTTGACTTAGTCCCGCCCCACTACTGCCCTGATTGGTCAGTTGACAAGTTTTGATTGACACTCGAGAAAGATACATTCTCCAGGTTGGGATCTTTATCATTTTTGTACAATTTTCTTGGCAAAATATTTTTCACGGTATTTCAGAACATTTCAATAAATTAAAAATCTGTTCGCAGTCAACAGGCTCTACGTTTCTCATACTATAGACATCAGAGGTGTCTTTGTTTGAGGTATTGTGGTTTTGTTTTACATTCAAATGTATTTTTATACTGAAAAAAACTACTATCAATATCAAACATTACATTATATTTCAATATTAAGTGACACTTGATAACACTATCTTAATTTTGTCTACTAATTATTGATCAATTGTCCTCACATTTTATAGCTTCTTTTTAATTTCTGAACAGCAGACACGACAAATAGGTAATTAGTCTGCCAATGAGGTTATGTTTAGTCCCCTATTTATTTGTTTGTACGTTAATCTCTGAACAGCCTACAGGCCATATTTATTATCAGAAACGCTTTAAACTCCACAATATTCCATGACAAAGATCTGAAGGTGATAAAATTCTGAAGGGTTAAGGTCAGGGTCAAAGGTCACGGTCATAATGAACAAGTATTCCGAGAGCATGGGGACAATATGTGTGGAAAATTTATACAGACGAGAATTGTGATGTGGGCGGGGGTATGCACTCTTGGAGAGGAGTCTAGTCTCCCATTTATTTCCATTAATATACATTACAATTAGGAAATGGGTATTTCTGTCTTTAAATTTAAACTATGTCAATTTTCCTTTTAACAATGCTGTTCAAAAAACACTAATTTTGTCTGCCAATTATTTATTCAATTTGTGAAAACATCGTATTGGCTCTTTTTCTGAAAGTCAGACAGCAAATCGAAAAATTTACAAATCTTGCCCATTAATAATTAAAATTAGTGACTGGAAATTTTTTATCAGGAATTTTTTTTCTGTGTTCAAAAGCACTTGAAAGTTGCTTGTAAGGATATTGAAGTCAAGGAATATTTGTCTGAGAATCCTCATGTCGAATTAATTTTAGGTGTTGTAGAAAACAATTGTCTGGAAATCTATGTTAGGAACTTTGCCACCAGTGGGTCTTTGTAGTTGCATCTGAGGTATTGCAGATGAGTTCTTCTGGTTATCTGTGTCAGGAACTCTGTCATCTGGATGTCTTAAAGTGCCTTGGAGGTATTTATTGCAGATGAGTTTGTCTGGTTATCTGTGTCAGGAACTCTGTCATCTGGATATCTTTATATATGCCTTTAAGGTATTTAGTGCAGACATATATGTCTGGGTATCTGTGTCAGGAACTCTGTCATCTGAATGTCTTTATAAGTGCCTTTGAGGTATTTATTGCAGAGGTGTCTGTCTGTGCATCTGTGTCAGAAACTGTCATTCAGGTGTCTTTATAAGTGCCTTTGACGTATTTATTGCAGATATTTTTACCTCAATGTGAGATTTTGCTGAACTTGTCTATCTGAGTATCTTTATCAGGAATTGTCAGTCAGGGTGTCATTATAAAAGGGTGTCTTTCTTTCATTACGTATTATTGAACCAAGTTTGGTTCATGCAATAAGCAACATACAGTATGGTGTGATTAAATATGATGTGTTCATCAATGTAATAATGTTTTAACAAGAATGGAAATTAAATAATTAAATGGAAGAAGTAATGTAAAATAATAATTGATGAAACATTCTAGAGGCAATAAAAAATATGTAAGATCAGTCATAACAATATATTGCAACATAAGC